TGGTGGAAATAAATCCTTAATTAATAAGTTTGCTACTATATTAATGTTTTAAATCTCATATATAACCTTTAATGTAAGTGAGTAAGACCCTTTTATTTTCACTTGGGAGCACAAACATTCACCAAGAAAATCTTCCTGTTAGATTAATGTGCTCCTACTTAAAGCTGTACCAACCGTAGACTAGCTGCCTGAGGCGACACACACATTACACACAATCATAATAATGTTATAATAATAAACAGCCTCCGAGGACATAATCCACTCTCTGGCCAACTGACGTCCCTTACAAAGTCTATCTGACCCCCTGGGACGACAAACACCTGAAAACTGGCCTCATTAAATCTAAATTAGGTTAAACACAATAACTAGGCTATTCCCCGAGCTAACCTATATCCCACTAAAGTATCTCCCTCTGTGCCTCTCTTTCTAACGCAGCTCTATACGTGTGACAATAAATAACAGCAGTCCTAATTCATCTCTTCCTGACCTCCATCTTCTCATCCATCCCCAACCACTGACCACCGACCTTCATCCATTCATTCTAATTACATCCTCTGAAAGAAATCCACGTCTCTTTTATTACAGTGCCGTTCCATTACATGCTTTTGTTTTATGCTTTAAGCACATATGAGGTCCTGCGTCTTCATCTATAAATTGCTCCGAAGCGAGCATATGTATGAATGCAGAATGCATTAGTCATCTTTCACCGGCTTACGTCCAAATTCCCCCGCGAAGATAAATGGTTTCGTTCTGTTGCACTTATGCCAATGAGATAAGATAGACGGGCAGTCTGTCAGTGCATCTTCCAGGGCTGGAGTCTCGCCAAAGACTGCTTCATATTCCCAGGCCTTTTCTTGCCGGGGACAATTAGGAACATGGTGTCCTGGTACCTGGCCAATGCTCTGACTGATGCTGATTCACTTCCACTGACCTCCAATAATACAAGGCTGGGGCTTTGCCGTTACAGGGATACGTTGAGATTTAAGAATGGCACTTGTATGGATAACCTTCATGTCAATCACAGTGAAAGATTGATTTGATTTTATTGTAGAATTTGTAGCGACAGACGTGGTTCAGTACATGTGGTTAACACAGTGTTATGTAGCTTAGACTGTGTATAGTGCAGCAGACTCTGGATCTCCCTCTGGAAGGTCATTTTTATTGTCTGCTCGAGCGGGTGATGTAATGAAAATGTCACCTATTATATTGGGTGAAGGGTTGGAAGTTTTACTAGTCAATTTAATGTAGCTGCACATTTCCTTGATGGCAGGAGTGTAATGACATATTGTAAGACAGTTAGAGGTCCAGTGTGTCGGATTTAGTGGCATCTAGCATTGTAGTTACAGATTGCAACTCACTCGCTTCACCCTGAGTGCGACAGAGAAACTAAGGTGGCTGTGAAATCTATCTAATTAATCGTGATACTCTTTTTAAACAGCAGAAGGCGCTTTTTGTTTTTGACTTTGCTTGTTCGATGTCCTAGTTACTTATGCCAGTCGCTGTATGGAGGCACAAAGATGCAGGTTTCAGTTTTACAATAAAAAGGAAAAACTTATTCAGTCCCGCCAGGATTTCGCAGGGTTTTTTGGGATTGATGTGCCCTAAAATGTTTGATTTTACAGCAACTTTTCTATTTAAAAAAAGAAAAAAGAAAAAAATGGTTGCAAGTTATTTTTTGTACAATTCTTTAAAGGTGAATAACATCACAGCCGTTTCTATTGTATTCAGTTTTAGTCCTGCAAATTTGTATTTATTGTTGTTCCTTTTTGTTTGTTATTTCAGTTTTGCTATGTGAGGCACTTTGGGCTGCATGTTTGTATAAAACCCCAGTTTGGTGAAAAATGCTGTCAAATTAAACATTCATTTTTATAAAAATGTGTTTAAAGCGTAAATGAACACATATAAGTTCATGATCTGTTATGGCCACATTGATTGGCTTATGTTCAATAAAAAAAGACAAGATTTAGAAATAAAATGGATTGATTTCTGACCTTTCAACAGCCACATTAATGTAATGTTTATGAGCGTCTGAGCAAATATTGTGAACTGCAATGATTTAATATCTTTAAGTTGTCGTCTGTGTGTTGTATATGGTTGTTTTTATGTTAATATGAGTCAAAAATAAAAGTTAAACTGAATATATGTGATTGATTGTGTGCCACCCCCGTGGATAATCCATCCCTCGCTAATGGCCAAAGGTTACTGACACAGTCAAAGGATTAACATAAAGTATTTATTTATAAACTTTGGATATTACATATTTTCCTTTTTGATAAGGCAGGTTATATGAACTCCAGAAAGATGATTTGTTACTGTAAAACATTCCAGCTCTCATAATGGCATACATTTACAGTGAATTGATATCATAAATGACATTTCTATTAGGCCCACTATGATACAATATGAAGGCTCAAAAAACAAAACAAAAAAGAGAGAGAAAGTTTAAATAAGACTGGCTTAAACTGAAACCCTCTCTTGGAAGGATTCTCAAGTTATTACACGTCAGAGAGAGAATACATTATAAATACTGAAAAATGAAAATACTGTTTATTTAGCGCTAAAACTTCTAACTATCTGACACATTAAAGGAAACTCTTATGTGCATAACTACAGCAAATAAGTCTTGCATCTTGTCAGGCTAACTAGAGCTACCTACAGATGTCTAACAGACATTGGAGGACAGTACTTTATGCAAATATGCTAAGTCACTTAAGTCAAGGAAAAAATACTACGCATACAAATAAGCCATTTTCTACAGCCTATATGCAGCATTGCACTGCCTAACAGCACCACAACATCCATTATAGTCTAACTACATACTGGTAGTGTGTCGCAGGACATGCCAAGGAAGATCAGCGAGCCATTATGGTCTGTGTTGTGTCTCCAGCTCTTTAAACTACCCAACACAACCGTGTGTCACATCCCAGGGAAGATATCTCTTTGAGGTTTCATTTTTTTGTTTTTTTGTTGTTTTTTTTAGGCTGAAGGAAGAGGAAGAGGAAGAGGTCCAAAAGTCAAAGCAGGCAAATACTTTATACAGTCCCATAAGGAGTTACCAGTTGGCTAAATACTAGTGTGTGTATTAGGAAGGTGTGCGGCCCTATGTTACCTGTAGGCCTACTATCTGCTCAGTATTCTGCGTTATTCTAACCCTACAAGCAGCAGAGATGGGGGTGGGAGTTCTTTGTGCCTTATTGCTGTTCCTGTTTATTCCACAGTCTCGTTCCCTGAAGTTGCTCTGAGTTAACAGTCAAGAGGAACCGTCTGGTGCTGCGCCTCCTCCGCCGCCTCCTCCGCGCTCCCCGCGCTCTGGCACGAGAGCTTCTCCTCGCATTTCACCGGTCGGACGATGACGCACGGCCTCGCGGGGTCCCCGCTCGCCCCGGGGCCGCGCGCCGGGCTGCGACTGTCGCGCTCGTATTCCTCCTGCGCGCGCTGGATCTTCCTGTTCCGGAGCTTCCTCTTGTGGAAGTGGAAGGTTGCCAGGGAAACGAGGATGATCCCCACGAGCACGGCCACCAGCACGAGGAGCGCGAGGGCGGAGGAGAACGGCGGAAAGATGCTGAGCTGCTCCGCGCAGGTGCCGTTGTTGGCCTGGAGGACCCCGTGACAGCGGCGCAGCGGCACCGACAGCCCCGAGGCCTCCGAGTTACTGGCTGTCATCCGATCCGCGAACTGTTGTGGTTCTCTGACCCCCGGTACCCGTTCTTGCTTCCATCTCAGGGCTCAGGCGCGGGAACACCGGCCCGCGCATGTTCGGTTACCTTGCAACCGAAAGACAGTACGTGACACAACTGTGAGACCCCCGCTCCAGACCAGGAGGCTGACTTATCAGTGCAATCAGAACCCCCCCACCACCACCACCACCACCAGCGCTCATTAACGGCTCCAGGATGCATTAATAAGCCTGGAGCAATTAACAGGAGAAGCGTTGGCTCCACATCACCGTGTTAAATAAGAGCTGCAGCCTCTGATGGAGCCTGCTGCGTCTGAAAACTCTGCTCTGAATGTAAGATGAGCTGGGAATCGGGACAATACATCATCTATTGTAATGTGCAGGCCCCCAACATGTAGCCATCCCTAACAGGATCCATCCTTCCCCGCACTCCACGCAGCAGCGTTTTTAGGACGAGGGTGTGAAGGAGGATAAAGTATCTGCATCTGATCAAATGTTAAACCCGAGCGTTGGAATAAAAGAGCAGTCCTTACCTGGTGAAACGGTCAGTGCGGGGAACGGTCCGTGAGCGGGGAGCTGATGTTTGTAAATGGGGAAACTGGATCACGGTGACGCATTTCATACAATGTGATGCTGCTGCTGAGCTCCGATCACTCAGGACGCTGTGATTGCCGCAATCCGCTCAGTCCCGCATCCAGGACCGCGCTCCCCCTCCGCTAAATACTGCAATTAAGAGGCAAATCCTTCAGTATGAGTCAAAGTAGGGGGGTTTAAAAAACGCGATTAGACTAAAGATTGTGGGCTGGTTTTCCTAGACAAAGCGTCCCTCCTCCAGTCATCCGCTGCTCCTCTCAGCATCTGAATGAAGAGCTGCAGCTGCATTAAAGGTCCCGTATAGCAGTCAGCTGGCAGGGCTGTGTTGGGTTTTTTTCTTCAAATGTAGTCTATGTATCACCAACAGCAGAGAGCTCAGGTTTCCCTCTGATCACCCCATCCATAACTGCTCATCAGGTCAAATCATACAGAAACAGAAGAAGGTAAAGGAGCTTTTTAGAGTCTGATCAGTATCCACTGGCATTCCTCAGGGTGTGGTCAGACAAATGCTGCAAACCTACACGATTTGAAGCTTTAAAAGCCTCATTGTGAGGGGTGTAAATAACGGCCAGCTGTCATGCATCAATGTGGGCCAAGACTAAGAGTAGGAGGCGTCAATTTTTAGCAAGAAAAGTTGGTGGAAAGTAGAGCTGCACAATGAACTGCAACATGGCCAAAAGCACAAAGCTGAAACTGCATTATAATGAAGAACTGTAGGGCTGCAGAGCTTCTCTAGACTCCAAATCCTGTTCTCCAGATGTAAGAAAACTCTAATAAATGTCCCATCATCGTGATTTTCAGTGAACATGAAAACTGTGATCATTCCTACTTATATGTTGACCAGATCCCAGAGTATGTTTGTCGTATCGACGCTGAGAGGTCGTCTAAAATCTCGATTTAATGTCTAAAAATATGCTTTTCTCCTGGTCGCACACAATAAACTACACAGCTCACAGGTTAGGCCTTTTAGCATGTGAATGACTGAGAGATATTTTATTAAAATGCAACTTTCCAAACTCCCCAGAGTAAATACAGACAACATGAAAGGGAAGCTTTAAGTGTCACACACTTCTTATGGTCTTACGCAATAGTCGCCTTCCACCGGCTTCAGTTTCCCAGTCTTTGTTGTGGCTGCATTTCCATTTCTTTGTGGTAAAGTTTCCATTATATTCTGCTTAAATCTGCACAGCTCGTGATGCCAGCCTTCCCTGCTTTCTTCACATACATTGGATGAAAACATTTTAGGAAAGCATCTCTCCTGCAGTGATGAAAATATGACTATTAGACTATTTAGAAGTCAACTCTAGATGCACCCAAACGTTCTTATAACTGGTTAATTATCCAGTTTAAAGTCTGCTTTACTCATTGAACAGTTGGTTTGAACTCAGGTCCCCGCCTTGCAATCATAGGTTAGGATAATGGGGTGGTCAGTCAGGTTAAATTTGATATAATATATGCTGTTTATTTTAGCCTAAAGCAGCCACTCCTTTACACGATCTCAACCTTAACTGATATCTTAAAGTCAGCCGAGATGTTCTTCATCTCCACCCACTTCCTTCCAGAGCAAACTTCTTGCTCAATGACTGTCATGAGCGATAAACCCCTACGTGTTCTGACATTTGCCTTTGGCTTCGTCCTCCTAGATACCCGATCTCTTGGATAACCTGTAATCCTCATAGACTTGGCACAGTCATGAAATTTCGGTGAGGAAGTGTTCGAAATAAGAGGCTTAATATACAAGTTGGGAGCCCTGTTAAGCGCTTGTTTTCTACTCTTGAATAATATATCACACCCTCACTTTTACTTTTGGTGAGGAGCTTAAATCTTTTACTAAAAAGTCACTTGGAATGAGTTTGAAAACCACTAATTTAGAGCTGAGCTCCTCCCTGACTGGAAGATTACTGCAGGCTGTGTGGCATGTTCTCCAAATATAGAAGCGTAAAGGAGAATGCAGACAATGAGGCCACACCTCGACCTACTAAAGCTCTGTGAAGGCATAATGTATGTCACTGATACTACTTGCAATCAGTTTCCATTTAGTGTTTTAATAATGACAACAGCTTATTGGTGTCATACAGCTGTTTATTTGCCTCCTATAGAGCAGTGGTTCTCAATCTTGGGTCTGCAGACCTCCATGGGTCCTTAGTGGTCCCCAGAAACATGGAGAATATTTTAATTTCACTATTACTTCACTGAATAAAGGTCCAATGAGAGAATGTAAGACTGACTGTTCTAATAGGTTTCAGTTATGGAATAACTGCCTGAGACCACATCTTAACAAATTTGGGTCTGTGGCCTGATGTGAATCAATTTGGGGATTTTTGACACCAAAAAGGTTGAGAACCACTGCTATAGAGTGTGTCCTAGTTTCATACTACATGCTAATTAGAAGCAGGTTTGAGTATGGCGTGTGTTTCACGCTGGAAAAGTGGTAAAGTATGCACGCTAACAAAATTAATTCACTGTTAATGGATGCTATTTTCCCACAAGGCATTGCATAAATAAAGTGGAGGGCATGTTCACAGCTGTAAAGTATTAAATCAAAATGTGGATGCAGGTAAAACACCAGAAAACAAACAATTAAAGGTAAGATTTTTAAGATTTTGTAAGATTTAGTGGCATCTAGTGGTGAAGTTGCAGATTGCAACCAACTGAGAACCACTCGCCTCAACCAAGCTGTATTGTAGAAATGTAAAAACGTCTCATTCTAAAGTGACAAAAACACAACAATTTTTATTTTCAGGTAATTATACACTAATGAAAACATACTTATGAATATTATATCCCATTTCTGCCAATAGATCCTCCTAAATGTCACACACTGGACCTTTAAATCTTTTTGGTGTGCATTTGTGAAGTTTAATTAGCAGTGACACTTTAACCCTGAGTCGTTAATTGCCCAGCAGTGAGCCAACTGCTGTGACGAGGGCAGTTAACAAATCATTGTGTAACGTGCATCCCACGGACCACGGATCACATCTGAACACGGAGGGTAATTTCCAGGCACGAGTAGGGGGAGGCGGGCACATGCTCTGAAACAGACACGCTATATTACTGATGTATGATTGTTGAGTAACACCACACGCTGCCACATCGAGGCCTACACATATGATGAACGCACATATTTACACACGCTCAGATGAACCCCTCTCATCTGACGCTAAGATTCACACACAAACAGGCCAAAGTGAGAGTAAGTGACTTGGGATGACGCCTCTGCACCGACTGCTATATGGGAAATATCGAAGGGGAACTGAAGCTGTTATATAGCCCACACAAAACGCTGCCTTCATTAGTTTGATGTTTTAACGTATTAATACAGCCCGGGACAGGCAACTGAGATGAACCCGGTGAATGCGACCTCTCTATCCACTGCTGGGAGCTCTGCAAGTGGCTGCTTGTTCTGTGGTAAGTGTGTGGGGGGGATTTCATTTATTTATTCATTTATTTTATAACTATTTTGTTGTGCCTTTATTTGGAAAGTGACAGCTGAAGATAGACAGGAAACTGGGGGGAGGGAGATAGAAGGGGGGACGACATGCAGCAATGGGCCACAGGTTGGAACTGAACCTGGGCCGTACGGTAAGCCTCAGTACATGAATCACCGCTCTACCAGATGAGCTACTCTGGTGACCTAAATGCTTTGCAAATCTGCATCGCAAATATTCAATATGAATGGTTGTGATGTGATATGTCGTATATTCGTCTTGTCCTCCGGTGTGTAAAGGCCTTTAAGAAGGCTACGTTCAGACCGACGTAAAGAAACAAAGACCCCTCTCTAGGATCCGATTGAATGGGACCACCTAGTTGTTTCAAGGCCAACAAAGAGGTCTTCGGCAGAGAAAACGCAGTGTCGTTTGATAAAAAGTCGAACCTGGCTTTGCTGCCATTGCACATTCCTGGTGGATTATTATGTGACATGTTATTTATGTATTTATTTATTTATGTAACCTTTATTTAACCAGGAAGATCCTTGAGATTGAAATCTCTTTTCCAAGGGAGACCCGGCCAAGACAGAACACCAGTTAGAATTTAAATAGAAATAAATCAACAGGGAAATGAAACATCACGCACACAAGGAAGGGACTAAACTCAGCTCAAATAAGTATAAATAAAAACTTTCCAAAGCAATAAAAATCCCTCCTTATAATATTATAAAGCACTATGTTGTGTTTTGACGTCTGATATTCTTTCAAACTCACAGATTCATTTTAAACACCTACTAATGGGATAAATAAAAAGTCAGCATGATTCATCCTCTGGGGACAGCGAACATCTGCACCAGTGCATGTCAATCAATCCATGTCCACAAAGCTCTGTAGCTCAGGCAGCGGTCGCCTCTTTCACACCTCCACCAGAGAATCCATCTGCTCCTCCCACCCTCAGGACACAG